GGCGGTGGGAAACCCTTTGTCCAGGGGTGGACACACACACACACACACATTTCCTCCATGTGTTGAATGTGTTGAATGGATTTGAGTGTTAAAAACGGCTGCAACTATCCCCAACAAGTTAAATCTGCGACTTCATGTCTCTGAAGTCGACTGCAACTTGCTGCGAGACTTCAGAAAGGCTGTGGGCTCGCTCAGACCAAACTGTGTTGCCAACATCTCTCCTTTTCACATCTTCTCACTGCCAAGGCTCCTGCAACATCCTCGGTTTCAATGGGGACCACCACCGACTTTTCTTTGAAAGTCACCTTGCACACAAAGCGCAGGCTCATCGGTTCAGTTGAAAATGATGCAAAGAATTTTATACTGTATATATTGCCCATGAACTCTTGGCCCAGTTTATCCCAGGCTGGCAGCCTGCAGCCCCACCTTTTCACCCTCTCGGACAGCGGAGATCTGCAGGACATCAGCAGTGTCCACAGGCAGCGGGCAGGAACCATCCTGGATCACCACAAAGTGCGTGGGCACGCCCGTCACCTCGGGGGCACGATCAGGTGTCTTCCTCTCGCCATCTTCCTTCGACCCCTCCGAATCAGAGTCCTTCGGAGCCATCTTGGGGGCCTCGAAATGAGCATGGGCATGGTATGTTTTCAATGCAAAGGGAAATCGCTTTAGACATAGGTAGTGAGGACATGAGCTTCACTTTGGAACTCTGTGAGGCTGGAAAAGCTAAACATATGCAAAACTCCTATTGTCAGCTCATCTATGCTCTCATATGTATTCCATATTTGTGAAACAAAAAACAAGATGGGTGTTGGTGTACCAAAAACCGCAAGCATCGTCAAGTGTTGTGAAGCAGTGAAGCAACCGAAAAACAATGGAAATTTGCTGAAAGCAATTTTTCTTCAGCAACTCATGAGCTTTGAACTTATGATGAATTGAAATGCTTTGAACTCGTTGCTCCAAACTATGGCCCAATGTCCAAAGTGGTGGATTGACTTACGACGTTCATCCAAAGGTGTTTTCACCACTAGGTTCTTCGCGCCCACAGCCGCTGAGTTCGGTGTTGGATGTCCAAGTTGCTTTGTCGATGATGCATTCCTTGTTGGCATGCTTGTTGAGCCAGTCTTGTACCTGACCTCTGTCTAGATTTCGTGCCAGTAGCCCTGCTGCTGCAAGGGCTTCGGTGGACAGCAAGTGATCAGGCATCACCTTGGCAGTGGAAAAGTGTGAATGTGTGAATTACGCACGCCATGTGTAGGGTCCAGGGTCGCGTTCTTAGTTCTTTCATCTGGTGAAAGCTTTGGATTGGCAAACTTCAACACGAAAGCCTGTTTGAGCCACGCCAGCAAGAGTCATTTCTCTGCATGAGGAAAGCTGTGCAGAGACCTAGTCCCCGCAGGCTTCGATAGAGAAACATAGAGAAACTAGATTCTTGTTCCTAATAGCTTCTTGTTCCTAGTAGTAAGGCACTTGTTACTAATAGCTTCTTGTTACTACTAGTAAGGCACCTGTTACTAGTAGCGTGGCACTTGTTTCTAATAGATCCGGAGCTGCGTTGAACGCTTTCAGGTCGTTTCGTTGATCACTCCCTGTTCACTCCTGTAGCGATTACAGCAGTGACTAGACAAAACAGAACCTGGGATGACAAAGGGAAACTGCAAAAACCCATAAACATCGCAGCCATCTTCCCAACCCACCGGTCTGTTGCATCCGGCTCATTCTGCGTCTTCTCTTCGCCCGGGCGCCGAGCAGGGCGCCGCCGCCACGGCAGGGTCCAATGGCAGTTCCGGAGACCAAGGCCAGGTCTGAGGCACCCAGAGCTCCATCTGCTCCAGCAGCTCCGGAAGTTGAGTCTTCAGGAGCCGGAAGGAGTCATGGATGGAAACCTCTGACGGATCGTCGAAAGGGTTTTGCAAGATCCCAGGACTGATCAAATGATGGCAAGAATCCTTTCTAAGTCTCACAAAAGGAAGTTCCTCCCTTACCTTGCTTGCTCCTTGCTGATGTGAAGTGGATGCAAGAAACAGCAGTTGACAGACCAAGCCTCACGCACCGCCATCTTGTATGAGCTACAGGAAGTGGTTGTTCAGTCTCTTCTATATATTCTGCTGTCTTTCTGCTCAGGACTTTAACACTCAATGCAAACTGGCAGGAATAGATGGTGACATGTGACAAGACTTCACCAAACAAGGCGTGGTATTCTCACGTAAGACGTATTCTCTGTGTAACGTCATAACTTCTCACTTTGAGCCTTGGCTTCTTCGAATTGATATGCTTCGCCCCAACAAGCCAGCTTGTAAAGCCGGGGACCGGCCCCATGGGCTCAGAACAAAAGCTTGGGACCGAGTGATCTGATGCGGTCCTGAAGAAATCGGTGGTTCACAATTGAATCTCTTTGAGTCATCCCAATGTTTAGTCATGTTTCGTGAAACAAACCACGGCAGTACCTACAGATGGAACCTACAGTACCTACAAATGCCATCACATGCTCGACGGCCCTAAGGCTGTCGTATTAGCGTGACTTCACCACAGCCATTGCAGTGCCGGTCACGCATGTTTTCCCGTCATCCCAGCGTGGTCTTCTTCACAGACTCACCGGATTCCACCAACCGTCTGGCCACTGCTGCTCCATCCTGCACGTTCCAAGCGGATTCGTCACTTCATTCACGTCAGGAAAGGGTCGCTCAATCCCACAGGGCGGGTTGGAATGAATAGCAAAGCAGAAACAGCAACAACCTCTCTATGACACTCACACCCACACTGCTCGCATCCCCACAACAACACTGGCGGCGACGATCAACACTTGATGCGGTGGGTGTGTGCAGAGGGTCCTCGCCCCTCAACTCGCGCAGTTGAGTTTGAAGACGTTTTTCTTCTTCAATCAGCCAAAGCGGCTTGATGTACCTGTGCACGGAGAGTGCATAGAAGAGAGAGGGGGAGTGAGAGGGAGAGAGTGCAGGAGGGTGCTTCTGGAAATTTGTCTGCTGGATGGCTTTAAGCCAGGTAGAAGAAGAAGGAGAAGAAGAATAAAAAAGAACATGTTGAATCTTGAAGCCATCTGGTCTTCCAACAGTTCTTGCAGTTTTCCTCAGGGCTTCTCATCTGATTCCCTTCCGAAGATCCTACCGCAAAGTCTTGACCTTCTCCAGAGTTAGGTCCCTTCGAAAAAGAGTCACACCAGAGATTTGCTTGAGGAACTATTACTATAATATATATATATAGTTGAGATTAGTTGAGTAAGTTTCCCTAAAAATCTAGGAACCAAATGGATACTGCGATCGCTTCTTCAAGGAAGCTCCCCCGCCGCCTTTAGGGCGGCCGGGGGAGCTTCCTTGAAGAAGTGTGAGCTATCCTGCGTCATCCTGCGTCCATATGTGTAGCTTACTTGTAGGTATATACTAGCTACCTGTTGCTACCATTATAGCTACATATCTCTAGCTAACTACCTACCTCACCTCTAGTCTACTAGCGGACCGAGTCCGCCCAGCTCCGAGCTGTGCCGTTCGAAGATCACGGTCCCATCGATCCACACGACCCATCCACATCGGCTTCCGACAGCCCTGACGAAGCTCGCACCTGACGATGGCGCCACGAGCCTTCATCTTCTCCATGTAGGTGGTCTTGGCACAGCAGAAACTGGTCACTGAGATTCATTGAGGAACAAGGGCATCGCGACAAGGAACAAGGGCATCGCTACTAGGAACAATGTTCGCTACTAGTAGCTCCTGGCCATACTACTAGGGGACGCTACTAGTAACAAAGGGGCATTTCTACCAGGAACAAGAAGGTACTAGGAACGCCATCCTGTGGCATCCCGTGGCCTTGTGACGGCAATTCGTGGCGTTCCTTCCTGTTTCGCTGAAAGACTCCGTTGGTTGTGCCCTTAACACAAATTACGAGTTGCATGCTGCCAGCATAGATTGAACCAAAACTTAAAGTCAGTGAGGTCTCCTGTAGTTGTGTAGGCCCACATGTTTAGTTCCAAAAGCTCAGAGGGGTCCAACCCGACCAGGAGCAGCGCCATCTTCAAGCCGGGTCGTGCGGTTCTTGGCAAGACCTATCGTGCAATTCTCAAATCATTCGTCACATGGCGAATCCGAATCACAAACGGCGTGTGATACCACTGTTGAGGGCCCTGATAGGTTCCTGCCTCGCCCTTCGGCAACGAACTTGCTGTTTTGAAACCCCTGTAGTATCCTGTAGTCATTGGCGGACACTGCTTTCCTTGTAGTCACAAAAATGCCTGCATTCCAGAAAAGTGGCATGAAACCTTCACAAAACCTGTCATGACAAGGTGACCAAAACGCCGAACAGCACCCAGGTGCGCTCAGGGGTGACTCACAGGCCTCATACTTCCACGGCTTGATATGCGCACGCAAAGCAACTCTCTCCTGTGCGACGTATCGCTCAGCCCAATTGTGGAGCACGGGACCAAGACCACCAAGACATCACATGGAAGGAAGCCAAACAAAAGGAGCCTGTTGCAGCGTGTTGCACGAATTAAGATGTTGCCTCTATTCGGTTGCATATCACGTGTTGCCCTGCCATTTGCCGAAATGCTGAAACGGCAACTGCGCATATGATTGGACTTTAGCATAGTTTAGCATCAAAGTGCAGCAGGCCCACAAAACTACAGGGCTGGTATCCGCCGGTATCCGCTGGATTCCGCTGGTGAGTTTCACTGGATCCAACTGCAAGCTTGATAGTTTGAGGAAAACAAGGTCACGCCCGCTGCAACGGCCCCGCGCGATTTGCGCGTTCTCAGAAGCATCTTCGGGTCGTCTTTCATAACCCCTGTGGCACTTTATGGCGATGCCCTTTTTAGGTCAATGTCATTTCGAATGTGTTTTTACACCACAAAACGCCTTTCAAATCGTAATTCCATTTTGAAATGACAGTGCGTTCAGGGACCCGGAAGTTAAAAAAAACCGGATCTTTAATCGTTTCTCTGGCTTTCATGAAAACTTAACACGCATCCACTCCCTGAGGCGTGCCACTCCTTTTCACGCGGTCCACTCCTTCTGTGCCATCTGACCCAACTTCTGCAGTTGGTGCTTAGACGGTGTATTACAGCGCCACACAAAGCTATACATATATTCTTGGATCTGTGCATTCAATCCGCCATTGGACCGTTTGGATGCCAACTCTTTCGGGATAAACTTCTTCAGGGATGACCATTTGCGGTCAATACATTGGGTGCCATGCGTTTTCCGACCACGCGCTTTGCGCGTAAACGTAGCATCAACTTGGTTTGCAAGTGCAAGCGAATGTTAATAGACCCCACCCCATCCCCACCCCATTCCCAACGTAGCGTCAACTTGGTTTGCAAGTGCAAGCGAATGGGGACAGACCCCACCCCATCCCCACCCCATCCCCAACGCAGCATCAACTTGTTTTGCAAGTGCAAGCGAATGTTAACAGACCCCAC